AAGTAAAACCTCAGTATTCAGGTTAAATTGCCGTGTTGGCACTTTGCGATAAATAAGTGGGTTTTGGGTCGCAGTTTGGGCACTCGGTCTCTAAAAGGTTCGCCATCACTGCTCTAGGCTGATCATACACTGAGCAGGGGGCTGGACCAGGTGGCCTGCAGGGCTCCTTCCAACGCTGTGTGATTCTACGGTTCTTTGATTCTTTACATTCCTCTCACTCACCTGCCACTGCTCTGTTGCTTTAAGGAGTCTTCATTCCCTTTTCTTTCTGCACCTATAAGAAAGGTGTAAAACAGGAGAAATTTGCCAATCTTCCCAACCTTTTTCCGTATTACATACCAGTGCAGTGAAGCTATTTTTCAAGCTGTTGCTGTCATTCCGCCGGTATTTTCAGTCGAAAGGAGGCTTACCTTTTGCTGAGGCAGCCGAGGCTCCATCGGCTTGTTTGTTCCAATCAAACATCTGTAGAAAAAAGAAGTCAAACTGATGCAAATGAAAGCTGAGCACATGCAAAAGTTCTTCCAAGCAAGGGCCACTTAAGCACATCAAAGAGTAAGATTACATTAAAACTTCAGAAAAGAACAAGAGCCCAGGAGCCCCTTAAAGACTAACAAAATACATGGCGGGGTTACGGGCTTTCGTGAGTCACTGGTACCTGAAGAAGTGAGCCGTGGCTCACGACAGCTCCTCCCCTGCCACAAACTTTGTTAGTCTTTAAGGTGCTACTGGACTATTGCTCTTTTCTACTGCTACAGACAGACTAACACGGCTACCCATCTTGATTAAAACTTCAATTTATGGCCAATAATGAAAACCAATCGTTTGAGGCAAGATAAAAAGATGTTGCTCTCCCACTATGAAATCAATATTTTCAGGAAAATCTTTACTCCAGGTGCCACCAGTTCCTTATGGATTAGAGCTTCTAAACTGCTGTGAGTGGTCCAAGCCAGGAGGTCCAAGGTTTGCAGAAATCCCAAGGTAACGATATGCCAGCTCCAGGTTTGCTTACAAGGAGATTTAAACAAAGCATCAAAACTTACAGAAAATGCAGACTAAGCTCCCATCTCCTGGGCATTGAGTGCCCACACACAGAGAAAAGCTGGCCAGAATCCGAGACCACAGGCATAACTAAAACTAGGTGCCTTATACCCTAAATGCTGGCTACCAGTCAAAGAATAATTAATTCAGCTATCCCAAACACTTGGATGAGCCAGGCCATCTCACGCCTGGCTTCGAGGGATGGGAAGACACAACCGGGCCTTCGAAGATAAGGGCTGCTAACAAGCATGGGGGGGGGGGGAGGAAAGTGCCTTTGGGAGTGGCCGATCACCATTCCCCCACAAGACTCAGGGCAACTAAGCATTAGCATGTAACAAAGATGGAGACACACAGGCCATACAACTGACTAACAGGCCCTGCCTCATGTCCTGGTAAGATATTTATGAGATTGCAAACTGAGACATGGGAAGGGGGACATCAAAACTTGGGGTATACCAGTTCAGGTTCGAGGGCTTGTGTCCTTTGGACACGAACGGCTTCCAGCAAGAAGAGTCAGAAATCAGGACAAATGAAGTAAAACCTTTACATTCATGTTAACATAATAGGACTAATGATGACCCGTTACTGGAGTAAAAGCTAATCTACTGCAATACCGACAGAAACAGAACCCTGCAGAAATATGGGGCTTTCCCCTTGACAGTATGTGGGAAAACGAAGGTCCAGACTACACAGGTCTTGTGCGTTTTCAACCTAACACTCTGGTCTGAGAAGCAGAAAAATTAGGCTGACTCTTGCAGAAGAAGGTACAGCTAGGACTACCAACCTCCAAGGGGCACCTGGAGATCTCATGGAGTTGCAGCTGATCTCCAGAGGACAGAAATCAGTTCCCCTGGGGGAAAAAAATGGCTGCTTTGGAGGGTGGACTCCATGGCATTATACCCTGCTGGGGTCCTTCTCCTCCCCAAACCCTGCTCTACTCAGCACCCCCTTGCCAAAATCTCCAGGAATGTCTCAATTTGGAAACGGCAACCTTACATTCAGTTCATGCAGTCCCATTCATGGAATCAAGTCATATATTGCAATGAAGAAGTCACTACAAACGGGGGGAGGGGGGTGTTCAACCTAGAAATTCAGCCCCAACCAGGGACCTACCTGAGTAGGTGGATTTCCTCCCTTTAACTGACATTCAGCTGCTCTCAGCATTCTGGAAAATTCTGGGTGCTCATCAGGACTATTCCTTCTTTTGGTATATTGCGAGTTCATATTTTTCTGCAAACGTGGAAAGCTCCCTGAGCATGTAGAAAGCCCTACTTTATCTGTGGATGGCCCCACTGTGAAGTTTTTCTCATCCACACAGGAGCCAGCTTGCTTGCTATTAGACAGGGTGACAAGATTAAATCCTCAATTATTCTTTCCTACCAAAGTGTGTTAAAAGACAGATACCAAAAGAAGCCGTGATTACTCCTGGTAGAAACGTTTATCATTCCTCATAAAATTTCTCAGTCACTACTGATGCTTTCCATTTTAGGTCACTTCATAGTAAAACAAGGGCAGACTGAAGAAGCTCTGCCTGTATATGATGAAACAGGAATTTAACACACAGGCTTAAAAACTTACCTTCTTCTTGACGTCCATGTCCACAAGGAAAGTGAACTTCAGTGTTTTCAAGGACCATCATCTCATGGAAAAGGTGATTTTCTGAGCAAGGTTCTTATCTGTTTTCATCTTTACTGACAGTCTGTAAATAAAAGTTCAAGCTGTTGAAGCCAACCAGTCCTTGACTCTGAAGAAACAAATCCTATAAGCTGAAAAGCAAAACCACATCTTAAAACTAACTGGATTTGAAAGCTGCAGCTTTAATTTAAAAAAAATTAAAATACATTACAGGTTCTGGGCCTTTTGGCTTCTATAATGCATTCCCTTTCAATGAAAGTGAAATTCTCAATGCCTTGCCATTTAAACAGTTACAATTCTCTTGTAGAATGAGTGACAAACTCATATGGCAATAAACATATTCAAAGCAAGACATCTCCAGACAGCAGATAAATACTATGACTTCTAGTTTCCGAGTGGAGGGCTGGAGGGAACCCATCTATATAAAATGACAAGCACACATATTTATTTTCTGTTGACAAATCCCCCATAGGAAGGTCATGCGCTTTTGTTATTTAAAGCATAGTCAAAGGTAGGAATCACCATGAACACCGTCAGTTTCCTTCTCTATCTGGTGCCATTGTTCCTTGTGAGTCAGAGTTCATACAGTTGTAAGGGCCCTCATCCTTGTGAGCTCACTGGGGCAGAGACCTGTATTTTTTGCTTATGCAGTAAAGCACCATGTACATGGATGACACTATATAAATCACACCATCTGGATTCATTGCTGCAGAGTGCAATCCTACCTAAATCCTAAAGACTATCAGTCAAAGGCACATTTTGCTTGCAAGTAAGCCCCACTGAATCCAGCTTTCTTAGGACTGGATTGCAAATGTGGCAAATTACCACACAGAGAGATATATATGTATATGTATCTCCCACCAATGGCTTCCAAGATGGCTACTATAATAAACCACATGATTACTGTACTCGGAAACTGTATGAGACCAATATAAAGCAAAAGCACTCTGAACTACTAACACACAGAACGGGGGACAGTAAACAGCAATGGTGGGCAAAGACCCATCACCAGTGTTCCCTCTAAGCTGAGTTAGTGTGAGCTAGCTCACAGTTTTTTAGCCTCCAGCTCACACATTTTTGTCTTCGCTCAGGAAGGATGGCTCCAGAGCAAACTAATTTATGCAGTAGCCAAATCACTTGCCCACAACTTTAATGCCAGTAGCTCACAAAGCAGAATCTTTGCTCACAAGACTCCCCAGCTTAGAGGGAGCATTGCCCATCACATCTAAATATATTTATCCCATCACAGAGCACTAGATTAAGGCTCAGTCTGTAATCGCAGGCTAGAAAAAGATAAATATCCTACTGTACCAACAGTGTTTTTAAATAACAGTAGTTTAATTTGGCACCTTTAAGACCAATAAAGTTTTATCCTAGGTATAAGCCTCCGTGTGCATGCACACTTCTTCAGATACTTCTACAGTAGTTTAATAGACTTAAGTTAGAAGACTGAGATTTACCTGAGTTCATGGTTTCAGTGGCAGTGTTCTAACTCTCAGCTAGTGCACAAAGACTCTGGAGCATTTTCAGCAAATCTCTGACAGTGAATTTCATTCGAAAAACAACAATGATCTCAGGCTCACACCTCTGGTGATATCTAGTACAGACCAAACTAGTTAATCCCTAGTGTGCCCCAATCATGTATAAAAGTACAGGTGGATTCGGGAGGGAGGTGTTAAGGAGAGTGAGGGGAGCTCATCTCACCTTCCTGCGGCTGGCCTCTCTGCAGTCTATTGCTTGAATACTTTTTCCCACTAAGGGGAAGAAAGGGACCCTCCAGCACAGGAAATTAGCCAACCAGGGAGAAAAGTGTCTGGACGAAAGGGCTTCAATGAAGGAAATTAAGCCTGGTGTCTCCCCTCCCGCCTTTATATGTGACTGGGGCACAGCCACATTTAAACACACCAACCGGTTGTCATTGGTGTTTCAGCTGCTGTCAGTTAACTTCAGAATGTAAAAGATGCCAGTTGCCAAAGAACAAATCAGTGAGTGATACTTTCACGTTATCACCGAATCAGGCCTGAGTAGTCCCCGCCCTGCCGGAATCTACAGCAACTCTGAGCCACTTTAATACAACCTGAGAATATACATATCTTTATGTATACAAAATGGCCAAAGTGTTCCGGGGGAAAATTGCATGCTTTTCAGGGGAAGCGATGTTTCCAGTCGGACGGGAGTCATGGCACAGAACAGGCCTGCCCAACTGGCTGCTTATCAAGAGAAAGGCAGCCCATGAGCAGCCTGAGAAGGCACTGTAACTGCAATTTTTAAAAAAGCAACAAAAAACACAGGTCTTTTGTACACCTAGTGGCAGCATCTGGCTTGATAAGCCATAAGCTGTGCAGTCCCATGACAGAACACGTCCTTGCATGCAAGCACCAGCACCAGCAGGAAGTATGTTAAAGTGCCAACTGGGTACTTAATGCAAGCCGTAATTTCATTGATGGAAGCCATGCATGCATCTCCGACTATAGTTTGGCCGTCAGATGTGATAAAAGCCACGAGCACATCAGCTTCTCCACATGGACACACAGCCCATGTGCAGCATCTGTACATAACCAACCACCACAAACAATCCCCATAGTATTTCCAAGGCTTACTTCTGACTGAGTTGGTAGACTGTCCTACCCAGCAGCAATGTTCCCTCTAAGCTGAGTTAGTGTGAGTTAGCTCACATTTTTTTAGCCTCCAGCTCACACATTTTTGTCTCAGCTCAGGAAGGAGGGCTCCAGAGCAATCTAATTTATGCAGTAGCCAAATCGCTGGCTAACAACTTTAATGCCAGTAGCTCACAAAGCAGAATTTTTGCTCACAAGACTCCACAGCTTAGAGGGAATATTGCCCAGCAGGTAGATTTTCACAGGAATAAGCACTTCTCCCTGCATGCAAAAAACTATCGTGCCAGGGAGAAGGTTATGCTAAAACCTCTCACCCTGCCAGCTTTATATTTGCAAGGATACTTAAAAACAAAAATTGTCCTACATGAGTCACACCTGAGAGAGCCCCATCCTATTTACTTACTTGTTATATGTATAGTCCGCCTTTCCTACGAGACTCAGAGCGGATTACACCATGTAAGTCGATACAATCAACATAACGAGTTGTTTAATAAGCAATGTACTACCATAGCATATTAGACATGATCCAAGTATAAATATACCGCAGAAAAATGGTATTCTACTATAGCATAGCCATTATTAAAGCCATTTCCATGTAAATTCGTGGCGCAGGGAACCCAGAACAAACATCGGTGGGAGAAAAGGTCCCCCAGCAGGAGTTCATGCTAGGTCTGGGACCAATGTTATGTACGGAACGGCCTCCTCTGGTATGTCACCCAAAGAGCTTTATGCTCTGCTGAGAACAACTTACTGGTGATCAGTGTTCCCTCTAAGCTGAATCAGTGTGAGCTAGCTCACAGTTTTTTAGCTTCCAGCTCACAGATTTTTGTCTTCGCTCATGAAGGACGACTCCAGAGCAAACTAATTTATGCAGTAGCCAAATTGCTCCCTCACAACTTTAATGCCAGTAGCTCACAAAGTACAATTTTTGCCCACAAGACTCCACAGCTTAGAGGGAACATTGCTGGTGACCCCTAGCCCTAAAGATGTCCGGCTGTCCTTGACCAGAGCCAGGGCTTTTTCAACCCTGGCTCCTACCTGGTGAAACTCTCTGCCAAGCAATATCCGTGCCCTGAGGGACCTTGTGCAGTTCTGCAAGGCCTGCAAGGCAGAGATGTTCTGCCAGGCTTTTGGCTGAGATCAGTAATGGGTACCATCTTATCTGGCACTCCCTTCCCATCCTCCACTATGCCTTTTCCCGCTTACTGTGAGACAGCAACGTATATTGCATATTTATTTGGCACCAGTCTGATGTTATTTTAACTATTTAATGCCTGGGTTTTAAATTGCATAGTTTTGTTGATAACCGCCCTGAGCTCTGTGAATTCAGAGAAAGGTGTTATAGAAATCTAAATTGTAAACAAAATAATATTGTAAAAGGTTGCCAATTCTGGCCTGGAGATTTGGGGCAGTGCCTGGAGAAGGACTTAAGTTTCTTTGCCATTTCCTCCAAAAGAAACTGATCTCTGAAATCCGGAGAGCTGTTGTCAGGAGGACTCCAGGCCCCATCTGGAGGCTGGCAACCTTAGAACTTCATGCCGGCAACCGGTGGGGGGGAAGCACAAGTGAAGAGAGAGAGGGCCTCGTTGGAGCACAAGGAGAAAAAGTGGCACCTGCCTGGGTGCCGCGGCTACTAGGCGACATTCGGCTTGGGAGCATCACAAAGTTGTTATGTGCCCCCCCCCCCAATAAAAAACCAGCCATTTAGCAACCAAAAACTCTGAGTTTGAGAAGAAGTCGGGGGGGGGGAGCAGAGGGAGGAGGGGAGCTCACGCTCCGGAAGCAGCCAAAAGGCTCCGCCCCCCGCGCGCATGGGAGGAGGAAAACGGCTGCCTCTCCGCGTAACGTCCGCGCCTTTCCCTTTGGTTCGCCTCCCGTGGCAGCGAGAGCATCGGCGCCCGTCCCCTCCCTCCCTTCGCCCACCTCCGGACTTCTCGCTTACCACCATCACGCTGCTTTCCCCCTCCCCATGCTCCTTCCGTGCTATGTGCGGGTCAAAGGGCACAGGCCCTACTTCCTGTTCCGGGTCAGTGGGAGCATGGAGAGGGTTTTTTGCCTGGGACAGAGCGGTCGGCTGGGCCGCCGGCGTTTCTTTCTGCTCGTTCTTAGGCTGGGCTTTGTGTTAGTGGGGCTCTGGGTGCTCCACTGCGGGGCTTAGTGGGGAACTGCTCCTTGGTGGATTTTAGCTTATTTCCCCCCTCCTGCTTATTTTAAAAGCCCCATGGCTGAAGCAAGCTGAAAATTAAACCAAAATAAAGGGCCAGATACTGAGTTTTAACCAACCTGAAGTGTTAGGATTGGCTGTATATGATAAAGTAATCTGAGGAAGTGAACAGGGACTCACGAAGGCTCATACTCAGACATATATTTTGTTAGTCTTTAAGGTGCTACTGGACTCTTGCTCTTTTCTGTTGCAGACGTGAGCAGTGACTAACAGACGGACTAACATGGCTACCCATCTTGATCTATGTATATGATAATAAGAACAATATAATAAAGCTTCACACAGCATGTTAATCATTCAATGGCTTTTTTGGTGTGTTTTAGCTTTACTTCATTTGTACCCTGCCTTTTCCCCAATTGGGACTCAAAGCGGCTTACATTGTTTGGTGTAGTGGTTAAGTGCGTGGACTCTAATCTGGGAGAACTGGGTTTGACTCCCCACTCCTCCACATGCAGCTGCTGGATGACCTTGAGCAAACCATAGTTCTGGCACAGCTGTTCTTGAAAAAGAGCAGTTTCTGTCAGAGCGCTCTCAGCCCCACCTACCTCACAGGGTGTCTGTTGTGGGGAGGGGAAGGGAAAGGAGTTTGTAAGCTGCTCTGAGACTCTTTTGGGTAGTGAAGGGTGGGGTATAAATCCAATCTCTTCTTCTGTTCTCCAGAGTCATTGCAACAACCTTGCGAGGTAGGTTAAATTAAGAGTCCATGACTGGCCCAAGCTCTGGCAGAGTGGGGATCTGAACCTGAGTCTCCCAGAACCTAGTCCAACACTTTAACCACTACACAATACAGATCAAGCACCGCCAGTAAATGGTGACTTGGCCTTACTTTAGGCAAAATGGAGATTGTTAAGGCATTTTATTTATATATTTTACTTGTATCCTGCCCCACCCCGGCAAGTGGGGTCTGGGTGGCTCACAGCACAAAAGTGTAACAATTTAAAATATTAAAACATAATATGCTAAAAGATTACAATTCAAATCCATACATCAATCATGAGATGGCAATAATACAGTTAAAGTGCTCTCAGAAAGCTTGACCCCTGTATGTGTGCTCATATATACTGATTTTTAGTAAGTGGCCAGTTTCCACTGCTCAAGACCTAAAAAGTACCTGTGAGTGGATAGGATAGGTGGGTAGGCCGTGTGTGTGTGTGTGATCTAATATGGCGTCTGCCACCTCAACCAGTGATCTGTGTAATAGGTTATGCTTGTTCAGATTGGTTTTTGGGGCTCATTGGGTGCGTTCAGACGGGGCCTTTCTGCCGGCATAAAGTGCACCGGTTGGAACCGGTGCAGTTTATGCTGGCAGAAACGCGATCACACTTATCTCCATTTTGCGGTTCCCATCGGTGTATGCCTGGTCACACGCTGCGGGCGTCGGTGTTTTTGTTTTTTTTAAAAAAACACAGTTTGAGCATGCGCATAGGCAGCCATTCACAGAATGGCAATCTTTGTGCATGCTCAACCTCCCCATTACATTTAAACTTTAAAGGTAAGGACTTACCTTTAAAGTTTAAAGCCCAACCTGGCCTCCCTTAAGTCCCGGACTCCTCCGGATAGTTAAAGTAAGGGCTTTAAAAAAAAATTTTAACAAACGCTCAGGGTAAAGCTTCACCCAAGCGCATATCGGTCAGTTTAAAAAAAAATGGCGGGGGGGAAACGGAAGCCTCAGGCTTCCGACGGAAATGGCTAGGCACCGGTGGAGAGTGATCAGACAGCGAGGTACAGCGTTGCACTCAGGGTACCACCACTTGGGACCTAGTGGCAGAGTGCAACGGTGTAAAGGGCTTTACACCGGTTAGGGACAGGAGGCAGATGTTCCCCGTCTGAACGCCGGTGAGTACAACAATTGCAACCGGCACCTATACCGATGTAAAGCCCCCGTCTGAACGCACCCATTAAGTAAAAAGAAGGAAGAACTTTTGGTGAATTTCATGGAATTTTGTTTCCTTTTTGTTTTACTGTGTGGAACTTTGGGGGTGAGGAAGGCCCCTCTTGACTAAACAGGAGTCTCCGTGGATTTCCCGACAATTTTTACGTGTTTTCATCCGCTCCCCCCCCCTTCGCTCAAACGTTCATGCGCACGAGGGATCCTTCCCCCTGCTCATTTTCTCCCGTTTGGCAAAGTAGGGTGGGGAACGTCTTTTCTTTTTAAAATCGCTTTCAGGATGACTCACGCTCATAGTTGGTCCCTCGGCCCCTTTTTCTGCAGCATTTTCTCTGCTCGATCTCCTACGCTTGTTCCGGCTAGCGTTGTTGGTACCATTCGGTCTCTCAGCTCAAAGAACCTTCGGAGCGAAGGGGCGCCTCAATTCTCTGGCATTCCGCCATCGAAGAGGCTACCCCTTCAAAGCTCCCTGGCCAGGGTCCCTTCCCCGGGTCCCTGGGGGGGGGTTACGGGCCAGCGCACCCCCTCCTTTGGCCGGAGGCAGACCTCATCCCCAGGAGGTCCGGGAGATGCGTCTGAGCCACGTCACCATCAGCCAGAAGTCCCCAGGATGCTTTCAATGCATCTCAATAAATTCATCAATGTAAGCATGCTGCTGGATCCATAGTCTTGTTTTGATGACTCATGTCAAATTACATAAATGGAAGGCTTGGTTGATGTATTTGGAATGATTATTGGGTTAGTGGAGAGCTGGATTTCATCAGGAGCAATTGGTCATGGGAAGAAAGTAACTGTTTCTTAGTTTTCCATTTATAAAATGGGAGCAACAGCCTGTAATAGATTTTTATCCTATCTTTTTATGCATTTAAAAGATACATATCCCAAAAGGTGGCTCACAAAGAAACAGCAAGTAGCAGAGACATAAAAACAGCTGTCCATTAACAAGATAAAAACAACCCACTGGTTAAAAACTAGGGTTGCCAATCTCTTTTCTGTTTATGTGTTTTGTTTGTTGTTTGTTGTTTTGTTTTGCATGCGTGTGTATTTTAAAGCTGGTTTTAGTGTTTTTGGTTGTACAGTACCTTGGGTGCCCTAGGTTGGGTGAAAATAAAACACACAAAAAAAGCTTTAAAAAGGTATACAAAGAATAAAAGGTATATACAAAAAATTAAATAGTTTTACAGTCTAGTCCCTTGGACTGAAAGAAGATCAAATCAGTCAATCCTAAAAGAAATCAACCCTGACTGTTCCCTGGAAGGCCAGATTCTGAAGCCGAAGCTGAAATACTTTGGCCACCAAATCAGAAGGGAGCACTCACTGGAGAAGACCCTAATGCTGGAAAAGACTGAAGGTCAAAGAAGACGGGGATGGCAAAGGATGAGATGGTTAGACAGTGTCATAGATGCAACGAACATGAAATTGAGCAAACTTCAGAGGACGGCGGAAAGCAGGAGGGCCTGGCGAGATCTTGTCCATGGGGCCGCGAAGAGTCGGACTCGACTGTGTGACTGAACAACAACAACAGTCTAGTTTAGACAAGAAAGTACCAGACGTAAAGCTAAAAACAATGGAAAGAAGTCTAGAAACAATTAAATATGAGGTAGCAATATAAATGTGTCTCAATACACTTTTTGAACAAATATTGGCTAATAGAATTCTGTAGGTAAGGATTAATGAGAAGAAATGTAAGATTTAACAAGGAAGAATATGAAGAACTACACAGAGATTACAGAGAAATGGGAGGCGACAACGGGAGAATGTTGGAAGGTAAGATATAATCTTAAATTGAAATGTGGGAAGGGAAGGGTAACTGGTGAAAGTGCACTGGTGCTAGAGAAATAATGATCATATTCGCATGTAGGAAAATAAAACTGGAGTAGGGTGGCCATCTGCAGGTTGTGAAATACCTGGAGATTTGGGGGGTGCAGCCTGAGGAGGGCAGACTTTGAATAAGTCAGCCAAATCTTCCAACACTGCAAATCGATTTGTAATAGGGATTGTGATGGATAAAAGTTGTCAGTTTTTAATTGTTTAGAAGCAGGGTGGAAGGGGGCCAGTTTGGTGTAGTGGTTAAGTGTGCGGACTCTAATCTGGGACAACCGGGTTTGATTCCCCACTCTTCCACTTGCACCTGCTGATGTGACCTTGGGTCAGTCACAAGCTCTGGCACAGCTGTTCCTGAAAGAGCAGTTTGTGTCAGAGCTCTCTCAGCCCCACCCACCTCACAGGGTGTCTGTTGTGGGGAGGGGAAGGGAAAGGAGTTTGTAAGCCGCTCTGAGACTCCAAGTGAAGGGCGGGGTATAAATCCAATCCAATTCTTCTTCCTCTCTAACCCATTTTAATGTTTTCATAATTAAGAGAAGAAGAAGAAAACACTACAAGGGCTATCCAGACTTTTACAATCTGAGACAACCAAACTGTCAGACGTAGGCAGAGCTGCTGCGAGTAGAGAATTTAATGCAATTTAGAAGCAGTTAGTCCAAGCTGAGACATCGCACCGTTCAAGGAGACATCTGTAGGAGGAATCACTGTGTTCCAACTCCAAAAATAAACACGAGAGTTCACTCAACTCAGCTCATGTCCTTAATGATGGAACTTGTAGAAGGCAATAAACCTAAAAATTAGTGATAAAATACTAAGTATGAGGGTTGAAAAGAGTTTAAAAGTGTTATGTTCTGGGTTTATTCTATGCTGTTTGAATTGCCCTCTAGTATCCTAGTGCCATCATTATGATTGGCTGTCTAACAAAGACCATCCATTGGTCCTGAAGCCACCTAAGGTAACCAATCGCAGAACTCTTCTTAGGTCCAATCAGACCTTCTGTATATATTTACATTGTATATAGTTCACTACTGGAATCCTATAAGTTTGAGTGCCGCTCTTTGCAG